TCAACAAAATAGATAAAAATGAAGGTGAGCTTTCTTGTATTTGGCCATGCATTTATCTATGTCAGCTCTTACCTGCTGAAAAAGCAATACTTTGTCTTTTGTGATGACTTCTTTTCCAGGGATTAAAGATGTCAGAGAAAGTTAGCTGTTCTTGCTTCTAAAGATTTTAGTGTGAGAGTGGGAAAAATCTTTATCCTTAAATTCTCATCAGTTTTGGTTTGTTTTACTTCTGATGGTCTTGAAACATGTAGAGTTTATGCTTTGGATATACTTAGGATTAGATGAAAGGTCCTTAATCCTCACTTCTTTCTTGAATCTTGACTCATTTTTGACAGTGTGCTGTATTTCTGTCTGCAAGAATGGAAGCTATTCCTGTACTCAGTGTTTGTGTTTCTCATACTGTTGCAGATAGGAAGAAGGACCTGAGTAAAATGAAGAGTCTCTTGGATATCCTGACTGACCCTTCCAAACGGTAACTCTCCTGGCACTTTTCCCAGCTGTCCAGAAATCTGTTGTTCAGCACCCAGCCCTGTTGCCATTGAGGCAGCACTGAGTCTCTGGGGCTCACACAGCAGGAACACTTCAGCTTGAGGTGCTGTGATGGGTTAACTTGGGAAAAAGAAACTCAGAGGGAAGTTCTCTCTAAAGGAGATTCCTCTGTGGGGGTTGGGACACCTTCAACAGCCAATGGGATAAAGTTGGTTTGCTCTGTGAACACACATTTGGAAGGAGGTAATCCAGAACTGAGGCTCTTTGTCTTTCTGCTGGCTGAGCAGGTGACACCAACCCGAGTTCCCCCCACCTCCAGCTCGGCCTGAGCCTGGCCCAACTCTTGTAGTTGTGTTAAACTTTAACTCTTTAGTGCTCAGATAAGATTTGCAAAACCTCCAGCCTTCCTTTGAATATGAAAGGGAATAAGAAGATTTCTGAAGTCAGTGACATAAGAGCTAAATTTTTAAGATGGAAGGAGAATGAGGAGATGATGTCAAGATGGCTGAAAATCCTTTTGTAAGATTGTAGGAATGAACTGATGTACTGAATATTCCTATAAACCATGGAGAAAGACATGGGGGGATGGAGATGTTCCAGTTGATGGATGTTTTGACCAAAAAGCACCTGTGTTGAGAATCTTTGCCCTGAGGAAAGAAGGGGATCTCGGTTTTCTGAGGATGAAACATGAACAGAGAGAAAAGAAATGAAGAGAACCTTTGCTGTGGAACATTTCATCCTTAAAAGTAATACCCCATGGGGCAGACATGGCCCACATCTACAGCTTTGGGCAGGCTGTGGAGTTGGGAGGAGTTGTCACCATTGCAGGTCCGGGCAGATGCAAATGTGATAAATGAAACCACGAGAGGACTGTTTGCTTCCTTCTTGTGGAAAAATCCCTACAGCTTTAACAAGAGGAGGCTTCTCTCTCCGGAAGTGAACTGAAAAAGACTAAATTGGGAACTGACCAAAGTAGTGGTTGTATGTTTGTTTTGTTGTTATGAAGGTTGGGAGAGGGAAGGAAGGAGTGGTCTGAAAAAAATCTTATTCTGAATTTGGTTTTCCCCTCCCCCTTTGTTTGTGTAGTTAATACATTTTTTTAATACTCTCTTAAGTTTTAGGCCTGCCTTGCTCTTTTACTCCTGGTTCTGTCTCACAACAGAAAATGAGTTTATTTAAATTGGCAAATCAAAATGAAGACAGAATTTGGTGCGTTGGCTGGGAAACAAAATTAAACCAAGACAGGTGCCCATTTGTTGGGTGATGTGGATGAAATTTCTCCTCTTCCACAGGTGCCCCCTGAAGACGCTGCAGAAATGTGAAATTGCTCTGGAGAAGCTGAAAAATGATATGGCTGTGGTATGTAATGCTTTGTGCCAGCAGAGATAAGCAACTCATTCCAAAAGGGCTCAAGACTGGGCAGGATCATTTTTGCAGTTTTTATTACTCATACTGTTAAAACTTCAAGTAATTTGGACAAAATAAGAAAACAGGAAAAAATGGGCAAGCATTTACTTCATGTAAGTCACCTTTATGTATGTTTTAACTGAACCTTCAGTTTCTTGTGCTTTGTGCCAAGACTTGAATATTTGTTTCTTTGGACTGTGGCTGATTTCAGGCCTTCCTAAACCAAAACTGCATATGGATTTTTTTTTTTTTTTTTTTTTTGCTTTACCTCCTCCCTTAACGTTACTCTATACAGCTTTGACAACTTGTGTTTCATGCCTTGGAAGTTTAGTGCTGTAAAATTTTTCAGAATCAACAGCAGCTCTTTCTATTTTTGGTGATGATTAAAGGAAAAGGGGCTTCTGTTGTGTTTCAGCCTACTCCACCACCTCCCCCAGTGCCCCCCACCAAGCAGCAGTACTTGTGTCAGCCCCTCCTGGATGCTGTTCTGGCCAACATCCGCTCCCCAGTCTTCAACCATTCCCTGTACCGGACGTTCATGCCAGCAATGACGGCGATCCACGGGCAGCCCATCACGTACGTACCTCGGGCTGCTGCCTGCCCTGAGGGCTCCTTATTCCAGCAAATTACTCAAAGAACAGATGGCTTTGTGGGTGTAGCTTTTCTTTTTTCACGTGTGAAATGTTTCCAGGTACAGCATTAGCAGAGTTTCACCTGGTCCTTTTGTGGCTTGTGTCTCACACAGGGCCCCCATTGCTTCCCCTCGAAAGCGGAAATATGAAGAGGATGAAAGACAGACCATACCAAATGTCTTACAAGGAGAAGTTGCAAGATTAAATCCTAAATTCCTGGTGAACCTGGACCCTTCACACTGCAGTAATAATGGCACAGTTCATCTCATATGCAAGCTAGGTAAGAAGAAAGGGGGACGTGCAGTCTGGTTCCTCCTTGGGGTTCACAGGCTAGAAATCCAGCTCAGTTATGCACACGAAGTCTCCTGACTGGCAAGAAATGCTCTGCTCTGATGGAAGTGTGTTTGCCTTTTAGATGACAAGAATCTTCCAAATGTCCCACCACTCCAGCTCAGTGTCCCAGCAGACTATCCAGATCAGAGCCCTCTGTGGATAAAGAACCCCAGACAGTATGGTATGAAGATGCTGCCATGACATTTGTTGGGCATGTGAATTGGGAGTAGTGGGAGGAGTATAAATACCTAATGTGCTCTCTTTTATGTTAATATTTTAATAGGATTTTTACGACAACTTCCTTTATCAGTTCTCTCTTTTTTCTCCAGCAGCCAATCCCTTTTTGCAGTCAGTGTATCGATACATGACTTCAAAACTATTGCAGCTCCCAGACAAGCATTCAGTCACAGCTCTCCTGAACACCTGGGCACAAAGCATTCGTCAGGCCTGTCTCTCTGCTGCATAACAGCTCCCCTCCTCAGTCATGGAGCCACAAAGAACCTCTCAGCAGCTGGCCTCTCCCACATGCCACTGGAAAACCACCGTGTGGGGAGGTTACTTCAGAAGAAAGAAGCCTTATGTTGTTTTGTTTCTAGGTTGTCAGGTTCAGTAGAGAACCTGATATTAGACTTAGCTTTCATGCTTTCGGTCTTCTTGCCTCTGTGGACTTTTGCCAGCATTTTCAGATATACAAAATGTGTATATATGGTTCTCAAGACTGTATTTAGGATGAGTTTTTATTGTCTTCTTAGAGAAGAAATTATTTGTGGACTTCCATCAGGGAGTCTGGTATAAGAGGGGGTAGGGAAAAATGAATTTGCTTCAGAATTTGCTCAGTGCCAGTAATTCTTTCACACTGTATGTTTTGTGACCTGATACTGCCCCAGAAATAAATGAGCTGCAACTTGAATGTGCTTGCAAACTTCCCAGTGGGTGCAGGAAATCTTTCTGACTATTAATTTTGCCCAGAGCTAGGATAAATTACATCCTTTTAAGGCATCCCTCAAAGATGTGAGATAAATCTGGATAATTATACTTGGGGGTGGGAATGTGAAACCAAACAGAGCAAAAAAGGTGTTTTACAGCTTATTTTAAATGCAATTTTTTATAAACGGTTTTTGGTTAGCATGGACCACTTTTCTCACTCTAAGAGTAAGGCTGATAAAAAAGAATAGATACTGAAGTGCACACTGACTTCTTCTATAAATTCAGTGAATGTGTATGTAAAAATGGGGGGAACCAGCAGTATAAAGGCCAAGTGACACAAATCAATGCAGCAGGTTTGTAGCTACATTTCTTCTTTTAAGAAGCTTCCAGTGGGAGTTAATGCAGTGCACTGAAAATGTTTCTATACTACATCAGTTTGTTTAAACAAAAAAGGCAAAAAACAACATCTCAGGAGTAGAACTGACAACTAATCCCTTCGTGCCTTGAACAGTGATGGGCACTCAAGTCAGTCATCAGCTGCCTTATTCTTGGCACTTTGAATGAAAACATTGACCACAAGTAGCTCTAATTTAAATGCATTTTTCATATTTCCCCATGTGTCTAAGTTGCTCCTTCTTAAGTTCCTGGTGCAGGAAAATTTCAAATATCAGATGTTTCAATTATATCCTGCCCCATCTCTCTCTGTATTGTGCAGCAAACCCTAAAGAGTAGCTGGGCTCTCTTACAATAGTGTCAAGAAATTGCTATGACCTCTGTAAATCCATGTGGTGTCATCAGTTTTAGGATGTTTTTAAATGTGGGTACTTAGTAAGCACTGACTGAGGCAGCAGAGTGCTGTCAGTATTTTGTACATGAGCTAATAATGCATTATCTGTTTGTTTCTACTGTAATAAATTTATTATTATTCCTGTGTTGGATGCTAACATTGTACTGCCCTTCCCCTGTTAAGATACCATGGGCTGAGGGTTACTGTGTTCTGGGGTAAGTGAAAACTCACAGGCTTTGAGGGTTAGAGGACAAAATCATAAATGGCTCTGTGTCTCATGCACCACATCCTTCCAGTCCTTAGTGAACTGGGAGAACTGGTCAGGGGCTTAGTGATGGATTTACCCATGGCATGACTGCAGTTTTATAAATACTCATGGATTGTTCTTCCCCCCTGAAAAGAAAACCCAAACAGCATATTCACTGGAGTCTACAGGAACACCTTTATAAAAATAAAATTTACATTGATTATCTCTTCAAGGCCACATCAATGTTTATAAAACTCCATTAACTTCAGTATTAAAAATATTTTAAGATTTGATACAGTTAAAACATTTTAGTCATGGAATCCCAGGCTCATCCTTAAAACATTTATTTTTACAAGCCACGAAGAGGAAACTAGTGTTCATGTGGTTTCCATCCTTCGAAGAAAAAAGTCATTATTACAGCATAAAGAAAATACCCAGTTAGGATAATGAATGTGCAGCCAACCGGCCCAACATAAAACCAGGATGCAAGGAAGTAAATCATCAGCAAAGACATCAGAGTCCTGTAGCTGGCCAGAAACCTCAGACTGATCCTGGGTCCCCAGTTGGGGCTCGTTCTGTCCCTCACCACAGGGCTGTACCTGATTTTCTGTAGGAGCTGGGGGTTGGTCAGATGATAGCGACAGAGTCTGCCAACAAAATCATCCCTGGAGCAAAGCATTTCCATCTGATCTGCAAACTGAGGGAAGAGGCAGTAAAAGGTTAGTGCTGTCATAAAGTAACTTGTTTTATGATTTTCTTCATTTAGAGAATGAGGATTACAGGAAATGGGGGATCCAACTGCACTTTTAAACAGCAGAACTGTCTTAGTGCAGATTTGCCTTGTGTTTTCATGCCTAAATGCTTCTAAATAGGAAAAGCAAATTCTTTTCTTAATTCTGAATGTTACTCTCCTGTTCATCAATCATGAGGTCCTCTAATAAATCACATTTGCAAGGTTTTGTGCAGGAAAAGCAGAATTCCAGGTAGAGAAGCAGGCCTCATACTACCAGGAATTACCCATCTAGACCACAGTAATGGAGTAAGAACAGAGGGAATGTCACACAGGTCCAGGTGGAGCAGGAACAGAACTGTGCAGCCCAGGCAGGCAGGGCTGTGCTTACCCTGTGGTTGAGCAGCGAGGACAGGCGGAACAGCAGCCGCACGAGGGCGGCGTTCTCGTAACTGCGGATGGGCTGGAGCTCAGTGTCCCCCTGGTACTGCAGCTCAAACCTCCGTAAGCCATTTATGATCTAGAAATGGGAAAACAAACACCTGAGCTTGCAGCTCCCACCTGAAACACCTTTTTACTGATATCTCTCTTAGTCCCAAGCAAATTCCATTTCTCTTTATCATAGGAGGAGAACTTGTTTTTTCAAGAACAAGCCAGGTGGTGATAGAATCGTTTTTCTCTCACCTGGTACCTGCCCAGGGGTGTAAGAATGAGGCCGTTCTCACTGGCAATGCAGTCTGGAAGTTGTTTTTTTCCATTCTCATCTTGAGCTGTCCCACACTTCATCATCATCTGAGTCAGCTGGGCTTCACTCAGCTATGCAAGAATAACACAGTTCTAAAGCAGGTGTTTGATCCACCCCCTATTTAATTTATTTCTCACTTAACAAACTCATTAGCACTGGAAGTCTTTGACAGCCAGCTCAGATACCAAGAACTGCTTAATAGCCCCTCAGTTAGACATTAAAATGAGATAAACCTCTCCAGATTTGTCTGTTCTAGTCCAGTTCTAGAGAAGTTCTCTGGTTTGTATCTCCCTTAGCTCCCAAGGAGTATCAAAGAGCTGTCTCCTAGAGCAATTCTGTACCAGGGAGTATAGCTGCAGACAGTTCATCCACAGCTGCAGTTGCATTTTTACACCTCTACATTTAGAAGATACTGGAGAGTTTTCAAAACTGCCTGTTTGGAAATATGAGGACAGGCTTGATATAAACAGGTTTGGTATAAATTATACAGTCCAAAAGAATGGTCACTTAAAGTAGGTTTGATACTAAGAAATTCAGAACACCTAATTCCATCTCTATTGAAAAGGGGTTTTGAAGCATGAGAAGATGCCAGAATTTGCTAGCAAGGTCTCTGCACAGATTTGTGACCTCACAAAGTACAAGAGACACAGATGTACATTTGACAAATTCTGACTCTTGTTCTTGCTGCACAAGTTTCTAGAAAGGTGTTACTTACCTTAAAAATCTGGCATAAATATTCCAATGCCTTCTCTAAATATTCATCTGTTTTTTTGATGCTGTCCTGCCCAATTTCATCAAGGTCATTGCCTGTGTAGGAGCCATTCACCTCAGATGGTGTGAATCTAAACCAGGAGAAGAAGGACTGGCTGGCCATTGTCTCTGCAGAATGGTCTGAGATGGACTTAGCTGTCTGCTGTGCCTGACAAATTAACTGGGCCAGTTTTAACACCTAAAACAAAAAACAAAAATTGTGTGGGATAAGATAAAGGACCACTAAGATTCAATACATGGATAAAACTGTGCCTTGATAGCTGAAGGTGAGAGCAATCCCAGTAAAGTCACTCCCTTAGTGCACATGGATTTGTGCTGTTAGCTGCATTTCCAATAGCTCTGTTGAAGCATTTAAGAAACCTCAGTGCTGCTTAGGTTCTTCGGCTGCTTTTTTTTTCTTTTTCCTGCTGCTTTTGTCTGCTGGTTGGTACTGATCAATCAGAAGATCACAGTGAGCATGTTTGAGTGGAAATACCATATACTGCTCCAAGGCAGCAAGCTGTTACCTTATTATTTATTAAAGAGAAGCAAATTTTTACAGCTGTGCTGGACTGAGATGCCTCAGGGTTCAGAAGTCACTGTCAGCAAACTGAATTATTCAGTAATGCAGGAAGTTTTCCACTCTTAACTTCTCCTGATATGGATGGTCAGCACTGAAAACATCTGTCACAGTAGAAAAGCAGGTGACAAAGAGTTTGTTGCTTACCAAATTCCTGACTTCTGCACCAAACATCTGTTTATACTGGAAGTCCTGTCCTTCCAGGCTGTAAACATGACTCTTCACCTTAAATGAGGCATCTGTAACAGCTGGAGACCGTGATGACAGAAAACTCCCACCAAGAGTGGGGCTCATAAAAAGTCGGTGTTGACGGTGGGGAATAACAAGATCTGGCTCCAGGAACAACTGTTCTCCTAGAATTTGATAAAAAGTAGTGAAGATGGTTACTTAATACTGGTCTTGCTGGGGAAGGTCCAGCTGCCTTAAAGCTGCTGGGCAACTTTATTTAGAGAGAGTTCTAAAGGGAAGGAAGCCTTAATTACTGCTCATTATTTACTTTTCTCTGCCTAGAGCAGAAAATGTCAGGGTGTATTTAATGCAGATCATACAAAGCAGCATTTTAAGTTTGTAACATTTTTCAACAAAAGGCAATGGAGAAACAGACTTCAGACACTAATACTTGTCAAATCTCACCACTCTCAAATTCACTATACCCTAATTATCCTGAAATGCATGCATGACTTCTACTAAGTATAGAAACTTTCAGAGATGCATAAAGTTTAAATCCTGAAGCATATAACGAAGTAATACAAGAGTAAGAAAAACTGACAATTGTAATTGGGTTCTTTATTCTTTAAAGAAAAATTGTGGAATGCAGTCTATGGTAATTAGGAGAGAACTACAGACTTACTAAAGCAATTGGCAAACATTAGTGAAGACAGACTTTTGAATGGCCAAACAGCATGAAAAATGGCAGAGAAGTCCATTCACCTCAGTGCTTCTGAGATGAGTTATAACTACTGTGAAGAAAGACTGAGACAGGACAACACAAGATGTCTAAATATCCTTTTACCTTTCAGGATCATTTCAGCTAGATTGGGCTGAGCAAAGACCTTGGCTACTCGGAACACCATGAGGGCATTTTTTGGACTGACCAAGTCTGTTCGAAGAGCTCTGTTCAGAAATCCCACAAATAGCTTGGTGTACATGAGCAGATTTTCCTGAATGAAGGCAGCCCTGTCAAAGTGAGTTACAGGATTTGTGAGTACAGCTATTTAAAGAACTGTTATTTTGTCTTCTACCAAATAAGCTACTAAGGGAATGTTTTATACTGTCTCTGGAAAGATGGTCAATTTACACTGAGACAAAAGAAGACTCCTAAAACAAAAACTGGTGTTCTAAGAAATCATTCTCTAGTCTCATATAGGAATTTCGTTCAGGCTGGTGCATAGCTCCTGAAATCCTGCTGTTTTACTCAGGATCTCCTTGAGGCTTGGCTCAGCTCAGTCCCAGCTGCTCCCCTCCTCACCATTTGTCCGAGACGCTGCGAGGCAAAGGCTCTGTGCTTTGGGGAGGCTTTTCAGGTGCATACCTCCAGGGCTGCAAGTAACTCAACCACATCTCAAGAACCTAAGCAAAATCACACAGAAACCCACGTGAGAGCCAAGATTTTTTTGGAAAGGAAGGCAGGAAGGGATTTTTGGTTTTTTTTTATAGAAAGAATTCCACTGGTCAAGAAAAGAGAGATGTAAAGACCAAGAAACAGCTGCTGAACAGCAATAATTAATAACTAGTTCTAATAACTAATAACTAGTTCTGTTGAGTACAGGCTTAGGTGGAGAAGCAGGTACATACTGCTCTGAAGGAGGCATCCAGAGGCCAGTGGCCAAAACAGTGTTGCAGGAAGATATAAAGCTTCTCCTGGACAAACCGAGGAATCACAACCCTGCAAAAAGATTCACACGTGTATAAACTGGCAGCAAATTTTAAAAACAAAACACCCAACCCTACCAACCAACAACCCACACTTTCACAAATGCAAACAGAAAGAACTGAGCAAAATTTCTTCTTTTGTTACCTGAAACTACTTCAAGCCATTGAATTTCAACTCAAATTAATAACTACCAAATACTAAATTAGCCTTGGCCAGAATCCTCTGATAGCATTTTCTTTTCTCTATAGACTAGTGCAATAACTGCTGCTGAAGCTGCCCATTCTCAGAGGATGTTAGAAACAGAATCCATTATCTCTCATGTACTTTTAATAATGTACTTCTGTATTTAGCATCAAAACAGCATAATTCAACCTCAGAGGAAGCTGAGATTTTCGTGAAGAAAGCTCAGTTTTCAGTTCTGTACATTTCAGAGACATGCTCATGTACCAACCTTTTAAACTCCTCCAGTGGGCTGGCTGTGTGGGAGTGGGCTGAAGGGGAGAGAGGCTCTGGTTTCAGGCTGTTGCTGAAAGCATGCAGATGTTTCACAAGCAGTCTTACCACCAGCACATGCTCTTCAGTGGGCTTGAATGACTCCTAGATTCAAAGCAAAAGAAAGGCAACCAATGAGTGTCATTTGCTAAATGTCCAGGGAATTCAGGAAAATTATACTGTCAGACTGAAATACAGGAAATGCTCTCTTCCTTCTAGGTTCTTCACCATAGTTTGGTGCCACCTGATTTTGGACAGGCTTGCTCCCCAGGACAAGCTGCATCAATCTTCTGCCATCAGTTCACTAAGAAACAGCAGCATATTTGGATTGTAAGAAAAATTATCTACTCTAATGCATTGAATTTTGGGCTAGCTTTAAAGAAGATAATAACTTGTAGATTTTGACTTACCCCTTTCTGAAAAAAGAATATTCAGCCTTTCATTATGGTTATAAGTTCATTGCTGCAGAAGCACAGCAGGTCCTTTGTTTATGCTCATGGCTGGCTTTACTGAGTTCTCCTTCCTATGCTGGTACTCATCAGCCTTACAGGGGAGAATAATCCTGGACAGTTACAGTAAGAATAAGAACTGTTTCAAGTCCTGTAACATCCTGTTGGTTCTAAATCCTCAGGGGGAGAAGTAGCCTGGGTGGGAGCAGCACAAGGAGTGATGGTGAGCCACAGGGATGGCACCAATGAGCAAGGCAGTGTTTGACAGAGCAGAGAGGTGAACAAAGATGTGCTGCCTGTCCTGGGTGGCTGCTGCTGAATGTGCAGCACCAACTCCTCTGCTACTGTCACCTGCTTTCATAGTCAGCTAATCTCAATCCACCACTGAAGGCAGATTTTGAGATTTGTATTCTGTTTCATAAAAGTTGAGAAGAATAATGTACATGAAGTGTTAAGTTACAGCTGCAAATATAATGGGAAGTGCTGGAAAGGTGCATTGGATTAGCTGCAAGAAGTTTCCAGTTGTTGAGGCAGGGAGGGAATGTGTGTCTGTGTCTGTGTTTTTGTCCTTTCTCAGCAATGCCTGAGGCAAAGCAGATCTCTTTTCACACTCCTAAAGGTTTTGAATACACTTTGACATTCACTCCAGGCTCCATGACAGACACAGTCCTGAAGTGCAGCCAGACCTGAGACTCTTCTAAATAAACCTTTACCAGTTCTAATGAAGGCTGGGCTGGTTTTTGACAGCTCCAACTTGTATCAGCACGTTTTCCACAGTCCTGATGAGTTTATTCAAGAAGGTAGAACTCCAAGAAGTTGTGTGGCCCTTGGAGTTTGGACCAGGATCTCCACAGCAATGAGAGAGGCTGAGTACTCTGCTACAGGCCTTGAAAGGCTGTAATTTTAGAAATCCCAAGCCCCCCTTGAAGGTACCCTTGGAACCACCCTATTTCAAGACATTTTGGGTGATATTAGTAGTTTTTCCACATAGTAGTTCTTACAATTTCCTCTTAGCCTGGATCACCACCATTATGAATGTCACTGGTTTAAAAACTACTTTTCCCCACAAGTGTTTTTGCTGTCAAATCTTTTCATACAGGATGGATGTATGCCATTCTTAATTCTTGATATAGTAATTAAATAAATGTAACAGTAAAAAAGATCTAAAGTAGTACTTTCTGTGTTCCTTTCTAAACAGCACCTTGAGATATCATAGCACTTAATTAAAACAAAACAAAAAAAAGGATTAAAGAGCAGGGAAATGCCATGTAATGCTAAAGAGCTTTATAGTAGAGAAGCTTAGCCCTCCCCATTCCCAAAATGAAGACCCAATGAATAAAGGGCTGAAGAAGGGAAAGAGGAATCAGCAATCTGTTCCAACAGGAATGTTTTTGCATGCACATTTCCTGAACAATCTGCAAATGTACCACTTGTGCTTTTGCAGAAGTGGACAGTCAAATTGACATTGCCACCACAAATTTAGTATTATCCAATGACATTTCCTTGGCTAAAAACCCCCAGATGTTACCTACCTTAATCTGGGTGACAGCCATGCAAATTCTGATCTTTTCTTCCACGCAAGGTTTGCTTAAATGACTACTGTGTGAGAGGCACAAATCTGCCACTGGTGAAGACAGCTTTGGTGCCAAAAAACAGCATAGCTGGTAAGTTTTACATTGCAAAAATGCATCTCTAGAAACAGAGTTTCCAATTAGTCCTCATAACATGCTAGAGTTTAATTCTTTTCTCCATGAGCTTTGCTAATATCTCTCAGTATCTGTTTCACTGAACAATTTGGTGATTTTCAATGCAGTGCTCTCAAATTATAAAACCACACCTTGGCAGAAGAAGCTGCTGTACAGTCAGCACCAATACACTTCGCAGATTATATGATGGAACAAGATTTTTAAAAAGGAAACAAAATGAAAAGATGGTAATACTTGGTATGCGTGGAGGGCCTGGTAGCTGGATTGGGCAGGACTACCGTGGTGTTTACTGGAGATACTGAGTCGGTAGTGGAGAACCTCCAGCTGAGACAACAGAAACAAAAAGGAAGGGGGGAGGGAAAAAAAGGAGAGAAGAGAGCAAGAGAAAAAAAAAGTGAGAATGAGCCCAAGGAAGAAGGGTGGGGGGAAAAATGAACATCACAAATACAGTCAGGGACAACATATCACAATAACAACTGCAGCCACAGTATCCTCTTTTTTTCTGGTGTTCAGTAGATTGAGTCCACAGTATTTCTTACCCTTTATCAACTTGGAAATATAACAGGGAGCAGGTGTCAAAAAGGCTGCTCTCTTTGCTGTGCTCAGAGTAAGGAATGGTGGGGGATATGGAGCTTTTGCCAAACAAATTCCCCATTTCAGAAGTGAATTGAACCGCAGCAACAAGAATTTACACACTGTTACAATATTTTATTTAAAAATGGAGTAAGAGAGCAGTATTCTGCAAACTTTTTTACATCTATTTTGAAAACTTTGTTATTTCTTTCTCTTCTGCTGGAGAAGTAGTTTGTACAAAGAAGAAACTCAAATTGGACTTTCCTGTCCAGAGAAATCCTAGGTCTTCTCTCTACTTAAAGGCCATTTGGGAAGGCTGCAGGTTTTGTGAATTTCCTCAAAAGAGGAAATTACTTTTGCTATTAGGGAAACATGACACATCTAAAAAGGCAAAGTCATGCCTAGCACAGTGTTATATGCTGATATAAAAGGCATCTTGCCATAACACTGAAGTCTCTGCAAGCCTCAGCCAGATCCCTTCTTGAAGGAACAACCTGATCAGTATTTTCTGACTATGACAGTGAAGAGGATACTGTAGCAACAGTGACACACATGTATGAAATTAATGAAAAAACATAAAACAAAAAATGTACACTACACAGACCCCAATGACTGTTGTCAGGCATCTAAACTAACTCTCCAGATCACACCTCTGCTGCCTTTAAACAGCCTCTACCCCATCTCCTCCACTGTCACTTTGGCAGCTTTTGGTTTCACACCCTCAGAGTGGCAGGATTGTTACTGCAGGCTCCCCAAGAGCTTGGGCAGATTGTCTGCTTCCAAACTGACTGCCCTGCCACAGGAATCTGCAAGCCCCTGGATTTTAATGGGTGTTCCACATGCAGTGCTGGGGGCTGAACACCTGGCATTGGAAGGTCAGGAAGCATTACATAAAGTTGTATTACACTATTTCTTTTTAAGGGTTTCTTGTGGCAACAGCAGAAGGGAATAGGAAAAAAGATGCTGCACACTCGGACTCTAGATCATCAGAGAGAGAAAAAACAAACAGACAAAAGAATTGGAAAATAGTTGAAGTAAAAGGGAAAACAGTGACAGCATAGCAAATAGCATCAACCTCAGGTTCACAGCAGACCCAAAAAGAACTCAAAGTTGTAATGTGCATCTTCTCAAATGAAATTGTTTACTATTCATTCCCAGTCTGTCTACTACTTATAAAGGGAAGTTTGTGATGACATTAACAAGGTTCAAGGAAAAAAATCTATGATTCTCCTTCTCAAGAAAGTTACTTATCTGTCTTGGCCCATGAAAGCAAACAAATCTGGCTGCAGGACAAAGAGTGAGCAAGTTCTGCAGAACCTCATCCCACCTTCCAATACAGACATGCAGCCATTTCAAATCACTGATGGTCAAACAGCTCGAGACCCAGGACTGAATGGTCACTGACTGTCCTTCCTCCCAAACACACAGAAGCCTACATGAAATCAATGAACCTGCAGAATTATCAATAATTTTAAGAATAATGTATAGGGCCATCTTGGGTTTCCAGTCAAGGTCTTTAATGCCTGTGTTAAAGCAGAACTTACAGTTCTAGATGTTCTACTTCCTCATCTGAGGAACTACAAGGCAGATTGTTCTCTGTCAGCCCACCCAGTCTATAAAGTTCAGTTTAAGCATCACTGGCTAATGAGCAGTCCTGTCCCTCATGTGGGATCCCAGAAATCTGGAGTTTTTGAGCTTTCTGTGCCTGGAAGCTTCCAGGCACAGAAAGCTCAAAAACTCCAGATTTCTGGGATCTAACACCTAACTGATCTGGAACCTTTCCTCAGTCCTGCAGGAGAGATCCTTCATCCATTTATGTATCTCATGGGGAATTCCAGTCCCTCCATTCCACTGTTCCACCCTCCCCACAAAAAGGAAGACTTCCTATTTTACATGCTCATGATTACTTCCCATCAAAGATGAAACTAAAATACCATCAGGGAGTTATGGCCTCAGGTTGTGGCTCAACACACCTTGTGGAAGATCCTGAAGTGCTGATTTCAGAGAACTGTAAGCTCTACCTAGGCCCTACTCCACCATAACGTGGAGAGTCATTGTCTGCAACTGCTGCTCCCTAGTGCTAGAAGAGAGCATCTGAAATACAGAGGGTGAACAGAGGAGAGAAGTTTAAAGCAATCATCATTTCTGGCCTAAGCACAGCGCTTGATGCACAGAGACTGGACAGACAGACAGACCAAAGGTACTTCAAGCAAAGCCTTTCCATCACAGGTGCACAGCCATGCTGCTGGGAGTCCCAAGTGGAGACTTTGCAACATTAGTGATTTGCACTTTGACCTCAACTTTGAGAATAAAAGACAAAACCCATCACGTTTCAGCTCTTCAATGTTTTTCCCTAGCAAAATATAAATGTGTTTTATTTCATATCCTGTGAAGGATTAGAATTTTTCAATCAACTCTCATATTGCACTTCCACACAGGAATAAATACTGAGTAGCTTTTATTATTTCTCTCCCCTTCTATGAAAGTCCCACTGAGACCCAGAGGGAATTCAGAGGATCAACTTTTTCTCCTTCAAATTCCCTTTACATTTATAATGCCTTCAATCTTAGCCTCCCCAACACTTACTTACTTCTTACATGCAGTAGTTTGTTACTGAACAGGCCACCACAAACTGCTTACAACAGTGAATTATCTGAGCAAGAACTTGTCAGATAATCCAAATTCTGTAGCTGCAGAACTGCTTCTGACACCGTTATGGTGAAAAGCATATTTTGGAACATGAAATAATAAAAATGGCAGTTTAGCAAGATTTTTTTTTTTTTAATTTTGGATTTAGGCTAAAATATGGTTACAGACATTAGAAATTACTAATTGGTATTTCAGGAACAGTTGCTATCTCTGCTGGAAATCAATTTTAGCTATTTTTAGCAGTCATGTTGCCCCAGTGGGATTTAACATAATGGTTTTATAGTGGCACTTTCTCAATCATTAGTACTTTGATATTGATGTTCAGATTGTTGTGACCATCCCACAAACTCATCTTGAACAAAAAAAGAAACAAAAACCAGAACAAACTAACACAACTTCTGTAATGAAGGCAAATCTGGATGACACACTTATTCACAACACTCTTTGTAATTGGATTATCAACTCTGGCACACTTATGTAGATACTCTGGGAAGTTATTTCTTTCCTTTGGACCAATACACACACAAAAAAATTCTGCACAGAATAGATTTACCCCAAGGTAAGAGCTCAACCACCAGGTGATGCTCACGAGTGCAGTACAAACTATTACCTTGACGTGAGGGGATTGCATTTTCTGATACATTTCCAGTGAATAATGATGAAGCCACATTTCAACAAAGATCTGCAAAACAAATATTTTCTCAGCTAGGGAAAGAGTAATAATCCCACACTGTCAGTCAGAAGATAAATATAAGGAAGACCAGAGTATGTAACTTGAAAACTAAGTTGTACTGGTAAACAGACAGCACCTATTCAAGATGTCTCAGTTATCATGCCAATGACTGAGATGACAAACTCTTAGCACCTGCCAGGCATCAATCAGTCAGCTCAGCAACATGGTAGGAACTTGTTTCAGAACAGCTAAATCCGGATTTTCTTTTCCTTCCCTTAATAATGAACAAAACCAACTTGGCTGTGATTAACCTCTGCCTTTGGACAGAGCATAGAATTGGCATAAGATTTAAAAAAGAAAATCAAATGCAGAAACTTTTCCAGAAAAAAATACTCAAATACCTGAGATCCTTAGTCTAAGAAAATATATTAAGTGCCTTTCTAAGCTACAACGTCACTGCTTCACAGTGGTTCTTTGTTGCATTAACAGGAAGCAACAGCTGCACTGCTCAATTCCAAAACCAAGCTAAAGCAAACTGGCCGAACTGCCTCTGCTTTAAAAAGAAGAGATCCCTCAGTGAGCAGAAAAAAAAACGTTGCAGGGTGTTTTCTTCCTTAAATGCAAGGTACCTGAAGCAGGGTTTCTGATCTCCAGATCTCCTGGGAGGCCGGGTCAGCGTTCACAGAGGGCTGGTGGGCAATGTGCCGTTTCAGCAGGCTGGTGTGGTGCATGCCATAGGAGGAGAAAGGCACTGCTGGGGACCTTTGAGGACAAATGCATGGAAACAGGGAAGTCAGGGAGGCTTGGTGCAGTACAGGAGGATGTAGGGATGTATCATTGCTTTTAACCAGTATTCTATAAATTTTAAAACAGTCTTTCAAACTGCATAATTGATTGCACATTTCAAACTTCTGCAACTTCCTGTAATTACTAATCACTTCTACTGTAACTATAGCCAAACACTGCATCACTATTCCTATGTAATAAGTACATACAGATGGAAGTGTGGAGATGTTTGTTTGAATTTGTTCCAACAAGCCATATTTTGTCTCCACTGTTCCCACAAATTGCCCTTGACACTAGAGCCATTACCTGGGAGTAGGGGAAGGGATGGCTCCCCCAGGATTTGAAGAAGGTGGGGGAAGGACACTTCCTTCTGTGGGTAGGAAACACTTGAGGTATGTGTCCACCAGGATGAAGTAAGCGCTGTTGGAAGGGCTGACGTGATGGGTGACAGGTGAATTCTGTAACAGACACACAGGATATAGCTGGGGTAAACACTGCTGCTTTAAACCAGTGCTGGGGAGTGATGCCAGACCCCCTCAGCATAAAAAAGCAGAAGCCCAGTGGTTAGAAAGGGTGAACTGGCAGCAAAGAGCCCTTGGAGCAAAGCTAAATGAGCTGTAAGAGAAGGGCTGCTGCAGCAATGGCTGCAACCAAGCACGAGAGAGGGAACAAGAGGCAGAGGAACCAAATAAGCACAGCCCACAGCACCAAGCTGTCATTCTGACTGTAGGGAAATCCTTACTGGATACAGGGGGAGAGAAACTATTTGGAATCCATTGCCTGCTCCTTGCTGGCATGAGAGTGCTTACTGGGGTATCCAAGGTGGGTGTTGTGTTTATTATCCAGTGTTGGACCATCAAGTGAACCAAAGCCATAAAAAATTCCAACAGAACAGATGAAACTGCTGTTAGTTTAGCTACACAGCACCCCAGCAGGCTCTCAGGGCATTATGGAGAAAGGCCAGTAGTATTTAAATGGAAAAAAATGTGAAAGGTACTTACCTTCTGTGTAATCAAACTAATTGCAAAGTAAAACATGTAATATTCAAATGGATCTGGAAAAACAGAATTAAGGATCACATAATAAAAACGAGGTAAAGCTGTTAGGTATTGGGAGATGCTGAATAGACACTACATTTGTGCTTTGTCAGTGCTGAATTACCTTGCTAGAGCTTTTGAGCAAATTCAGCCTTGGCTTCTTGCTTTCCATCTGACTGAAGCATTGGTAATGCAGGTGTTCTCTGTGTGACAAAGTGTGTTTGTGCTACTCTTGGCACATCTGACTATTTCAAACTGAAACCTGCACAGCTACAGCTACACTGCTTCCAAAAGTACTCTAGCTGCAACATGAACATGCCCTTTTCCTACCATATTGCATAAACCACAAAAACAAAAATTGTGAAATACAGGCTCTACTGAGAAACACTGGGAATTTTCTTCTTGGCTGGATTAAGGCCAGAAATTCCTCCAACAATGTTTGTTTTAAATTGTAATCTAAACATTTTTAATCAGCCCAAACTCTTCAGCATGACCTTAATTTACCCCACATACACAATACATGTAGAACAGAAACAGTCATGATCTCTCAGTTTTAGATGTTAAAAAAAAAAAATAGATACCCAACGATTAAAAGGATACTAAGAGCCAAATTCAAACCTAAACCACCAGATGAAGGAAACTGGACTTTGTTGTGGTATAAAGAGCATTCTGGTAGAACTTGCTCTTGTATTGAAGCCTTCACAGGGCCCTGAAAGAGAGAGTAATGAAATACTAATCTGGCTACTCAGCATATTGCAAAGTATGTTTTCAGACAGTGAGATTCTGCATTCCAGCATTCTGGAAGGAGCTCTACATTCAGCTCAGTGGGGTTTTATTGCATTGCAGTAGTTCCATATCCAAATGCAGAGTCTTTAGAGAACTCTCAGCTTTCTCTCTGAAAATGAGTATTCAGTATTTTTTTAAATTTAAATGCAGCATTTTTTTTTAAAGTCTTCACTGAGACTTTTCCAGTTGGAGTGGGAGCAGCAGGGTATTGGTGTTTGGCTGCTGGTTTTGTCCAGGTAACTGAGCTGTGGACCAGCAATCACCACATATTTAAATGAGGTTTCCTTTTGTTAAAAACTGTAGGACTACCTGAACCAATTTCTAGATAGCATGTAGGTGGTAGCAGTGGAAGAAACACAGCAAACAACTCTGCAGATGAACACTTTTGTTGGAAATGTGACACTTCACATCCAGGATAGCAGTCAGATTCAAACACAGAGGAACAGAGCACAGGCAGGGAAGGCATTGCTCTGTGATTAGTTTAGAAAACCTTTCAGCCCTGCAGCTACTAATAACCACACAACTCTGTCTGGAGACAGAGTAAGAATTACAGTGCAGCTTTCTTGGCTGAACACACATATCCAGCTGCTGAGAACCACAATCTCCTAGAGATTTTATGGCTGGGAACTCTCCTCCTCCAGGAGCCATTTCAAGAAATGGGTCTGCTCTAAACCTGGAGCACTGAAGCTATACCTCGGCCTATACTGAAATGTAGGTATAAAGTTCATGCAAATTTCCAATAGGTGCAACAACAACTACATTCCCTTCTTACTATTCGGTTACTCACTGGAAGATATGAGACTGGGAAATCATATCTGTACTCTTGGAGTTTGTAAACCAGCTTCATCATTGGGCCACTGCAAACAAGCATCAGAAAGTGAATCCCATGGTAAATACCCTCTGCTGCCTCAGTTCTGTGAACTCAGGTTTGCACAATGGAAAAAGGTCAAACACTGCTCCTTTGTTCACCAATTTATTTCTTAATCTGTGCTGAAATGAATGAAGTTACCTGGGATCCAGGAAATCCAGAGCCACAGAATATTCATTAGGATTTGTTCTGCCTTGCAAGCAGCGAAGATTCCAGCCCACGATGATGCCATCCAGGCTGCCAAAAATGCTCTCCACCAGCCATGGGAAGATGCCATGTAGTTCCTTCAGGGAAAAGAGACACAAAGAATTAATTAATGTGCACAGTTCCTCACTTGGACAATCTCTACTGCATGTACTAGAACACACAGAGATGTGTCTGCCATTTATTGATGACTGTTTCTGGTTTATCACTAGGCAGATCGTCCATTCAAAACATTGCATTACAGCAATGGGGAAACCCATCCTGATTTCTGATCCTACTGAAGTTGCAACAATGCTCATCAGAATCACTTGCAGTTATGTGCCATATTTTAAATACAAGTTGCTTTGTAAGCTGAGGCTGAAAGGTATTAATGAAGAGCGGTGAAATGAAACAACCCTTCCTTTAATGACTAGAAGAGGTTCTTAATTCTTGGCAACATTGGATTCCCACTGTTTCACCGGAGGCCCCCAAAACTCAGAATCACAGAATCAGTTAGGCTGGAAAAGAGCTGAGATCATCGAGTCCATCCTGTGACCAAACAGCACCGTGTCAACCAGACCACGGCACTGAGTGCCACATCCAGCCCCTCCTCAACACCTCCACGTGGCTCCACCGCCTCCCGGGCAGCCCGTCCCACACAGTTTGTCTCGATAAGACAAAGAGCAACAAAGAAAACAGTAATAGAAAACGAAACAATTCCCCTGAAACTTGCCAAGCAGCGAGGATCTGAAAAAGCCGAGACCGCTCACCTTGGCAGGCAGCTCCTCGATGACGGTCTCCAGATCGTGGCATCTCTGCGCAAACGGTTTGTTGACACAATCCGCCTTCAGCGTGGCCTGGGACAAACCACAAGGGAAATCCGATCACGGCTGCCGGGCAGGGCAGCACTTACCGCGGCCACGACGCGTGAAAATCCCCCCTAGAACCGCTGCTCCGGTGCAGCATTCCTGCCGACAGCCCGGGCCGGCCCGCGGGTGCCCTCACAGGGACAGCACCCGCGTACCGAGACCCCGCTGCCCGCCCGGCCCGGCCCGTTCCGTTCCCGCGGGCTCGCTGTTCCCGCTGCAGCGCGGCCATTCGCAGCGGCAGCAGCAGGAGAAGGAGGAGGCTGTGCGGCCCGCACCCACCAGCAGGAAGCTGGGCTGCTGCAGGTGCGGCCCGGCCATGGCTCCGCTCCCCTCCGCTCCGGTCCCACAGCGGCCGCCGCGCTCCCGCCGCCTCCCGCGCGCCCCTTCTGCGTCACGGCCCGCGCGGATGACGTCACGGCGCGTTGCCATGGAGACGGCGCCGCGCTGAGGGAGGGCAGGGCCTGCGGGCGCTCGGCGCCTTCGCGGAGCTGTGGGATATCCTGGGATGGGAGCCACCCTCAGGGATCATCGGGGCCGGGTCCTGGCGGTGCGCAGGTCACCCCAGCAATCCCAGCCTGTGCCTGCCCGAGAGCGTTATCCAAACTCTCCTTGAACTAACTCAGGTTTGAGCCCATGAGCGCTGCCCTGGGAGCCTCTTCCAGTGCTCACACACCCTCTGCGGGAAGAACCTTTCCCGATATCCAGCCCAATCCTCTCCTGACTCAGCTTTGTGCCATTTCCTCGAGTTCTGTCCCTGGTCAGCAGAGATGAGAGCAGTGCCTGGCCCTGCACACCCCTCGGGAGGATGCTGAAGACAGCAGTGAGGTTTCCCCTCAGCCTTCTCCAAGTGCCCTCAGCCGCTCCTCATAAGCTTCCCCTCCAGACCCTTCCCCATCCTCGTGTCTCCCACTTGGATGCTCTCTAATAGCTTAATGTCTTTTTTATACTGTGGCGTCCCAAACTGCACACAATATTCAAAGTGAAGCTGCCCCAGTGCAGAGCAGAGTGGGACAATCGCCTCCCTTGCCCGGGTGGCCATGCTGGGCCTGGTGTCCCCAGGACTCGTTGTCCCCCCTGGCCTGCAGGGCAATGGTGACTCACATCCAACTTTCCAGGACTTCCCACAGCTGCTGTCCAGCCTCTCATTCCCCAGTCCATACACACAGCCAGGATTGCCCTGTCCTAGGTGCAGAATCCGTCACTCTTGTTAAATTCCTTAAGGCTGGTGATTGCCCAGCCCTCTGATTTACCGAGCAGGGAGTGCCCCATAACCCACGTTTGGGGCTCCCGGGGTTTTTTTGGCGGCCGTACCCAGGGATGGGTTCAACACCCGCGGTGTCCCGGGCAGAGGCAGCCACGCTCCGCTCGGCGGGGCCATCCTTTGCTGATCCTGGCGTGGGATGAGCAAACTAACAGCAGTGTTAATTAATTAAAGGCAGACCTCACTGATAACACACACCCCCTGACTGCTCGAAAGGACAGTTCAGTCCAAACTACAGCGCAGACGTGTGTCCGTGTGTCCTGTGCTGGATGTGATGCACACTCGTGTGCGTGTCCTGGCTGGGATTGATTCCTGCCGTGTTTTACACGTCCCGGTCCTTGCGGGCTCGGTCCGTCCTCCAGGTGGGGATAACGAGCTGCTTTAGCTCCAGAATGGCCAAGATTGTGCGATGTGTTTATTGGGCTGTAAAAGTTAGATGTGCGAGTGTCACGACTTAAGTAAACAGTAGGCCTGGTGTATTTTTAGTGGATGATAGCATCGGAGAAAGAATGCAAGAAGAAATAAAATGGCTCAGGGATGCTTGTTCAAACAGCTGCATAGGAGAAATGTATCATATTACTTTAAGACCTAATGGAACTGCTGAGGAGAACTGTGGAATGAGAGTTTGGTAAGCTCTGAAGCCGACTGAAATTGATGGTATGGGTTCATTATCTCTCTTACATAGAGCCTTTTCACATGTATATATCAAGATTGTGTATGTATTTTTTCTCATTTTGCAGATGCAAAGACCAAAGTCCAAAAAAATTACCTCACCTCATCTAGGTTTCCTCTGATATGCCACTTACCTAGGCTCCCTTTTTCCCTTCCTTCCAAATTTTAGCTGCCTTTAAGCCACAGCAACAAGAAAGGCTTTGTTCTGTTGTTGGTATGTTTTTCCTGAGAGAAGTATTTCTGAGGGAGTTGGAGGCTGACCTATTTTCTGGAAGTATGTATTCCATGCTTTGGGGTTTGTTTTATGTTTTTATCATTCATTGTCAGGCAAAGCAGTGACTAACCAGCCATACCAGGAGCTCTCCTAGGTAGCCTCACATTTTTTCACCTTGGTATAATCACCAGAGCATCAATCAAAATCTACAGGGTAATTAAGTTAATGTAATTGTCATGAAGATGAATGAAACAATTTGTGCATAGAAGATCAAGTTAATACAACACCCAGTTACCAGAAAATCCGTGAGGAAAAGAGAGTCTCTAAATCCTCCAATGCCAGCTTGCACTGTTACTGATGCTCAGGTTAAACATTTGGGACAAGTAGAGAACCAGACTGGGAGGTTCTGCTGCTCACAGTGCTGGCTCTGGAGCTCACACAGCCTTCTTTTCTGAAAGCAGCACTAAAAACCTTTGAATGAATTCGTATGGGGCATCCATCCACAGGCATTGATGGGAAGTTTGGATTCAGGAGTGTTACATCAAGGCTTTGGTAAGTGGCTTTTCCCCTTTAAAATGAAGTGTTTGTAGTGAGAGATGCCATCTTTTATAGAGATGATGGATATCAGAGGGAGAAACAGAAGCTTTGGGACACTCCAGCTTCTCTCGAAGTCTGATTCTGATGCAGCAAACAAGTCCAAGCTGGGAGCATGTGACTATAACTTTAACCTGATTACATTGATTAGTGAAAAGAAAAGACAAATTAGAAATAATCTGGTTTAGAGAAATAGCAGAGGCATCTGATAACATAGTCAGACCTTATTGCTTTTGCAGGATTAATTTAATCTCTTCCTGTAAGTACAGGTTAGAGTGTTTTAACAGTGGAGATGTGTCAAATATTTTCTTTTGGCTGGAGGATTGTTTGGGTGTTGATATGTCAGGGATGGGTAAAATGATTAGAAAACATCAAGTCTGTTCTTCTGTGATGGGAACAAAACCAGACTACCAGTTCATGAGAAACCATCTGGAACAGGGCCTGGATTCATATAGGTGAGGAGAAAAGGGGAATTTTCAGAACTGCCATTATGCTTCTAGGCCAACCAAAGTAACTTCAGTCTCCAAAGCTGTCCAGTTCATACAGACATCAACTTTATCCTGCTCCTGACGTGCACAGGCCTGCTAAGGCTGTCAGTCAGGGTTCCACACGGTTAGAGATGACATTCCATGTGTAGTCTGAGAAAACATCACTCACCCAGTGCATGAGATGGCTTCTCCTGTGAAGGAAATGCCAGCAGCATTGAACCATTGCAGGATGAGGCATCCACATCTCCACTCAGTTTGAGTGTACAGGTCTTTGGGCACTCATTGCCATTTTTCCTAATGGTTTCTACAAATTTGTTATGTTTTTGCCTGGTTTCTGCAGGCAGAGATTGTTTAAGATATTGCATGACATCGTGGTATTGGGAGTTCCAGCTCCAGCTTGCCTCCCACGGTCTTGAGAGTACCTTAACAATAGTCTGATTTAATAAGCAGTTTATTTTGTGCCTGCTTATGGGCATACTTGGAGTTTTGCAACAGTCCCATTTTGAAGATTTTCTTCTCCATATGAAACGCTAGAAATTTGGTTTTAATTAAAATTGGATTTCTTGCATCATCACAAGAATCTAGGCATTTGAGACATAAGTAATCTCAGCATTTCAACACTTGGGATAAAATATGAGTACTGGTGGCAGAGTGTGTGAACATAATGCATTATGCAGGGGCTAAAGCAACTCTTGGATTAAGAGTCTGAGGAAGCTGCATATGCTGACCATTACTGAGTTTTGCTTTTTTATTACAGTGGTTGAAGTCTGGGATTGGGCTTTGAAAAGTAAAGCCATGCTTAAGGTACCATTTTCCATTCTAGTTGGTGGTGGTTCATATTCTGATTTTAAGTAAGGTTAGCCTGGACAAGAAAACACTTTGTACCATTAGTGAGAGGCTTTTCCTGTTGATTTTGAAGGAAATAGTACTTAAGCTGATAACTAGGCTTTCCTTTCCAGAAATTTCCCTGTTTCTAAAACAAGATCTTGTTTCAGTAAGATAAGGATGAATTGCTCAGCTTTAATTAATACTTGAAGCGTGCAGTAGGATCTCTGCTTGCTATTTATACTTTGCCAAATTGATGTTCCTATTTCTCAGTTCACCAGGTTTCTGCAAAGTGCCACTGGTGTCAAAGTCACCTTCTCCTCATGAGGTGCAGTTCTGCCTGTGGGGCTGTGAGCAGGGGCACTGTGAAGGAGAGGGGTGCCTTTAGCTGCACCTGCATCCTAGCCTGGATGTGCACAGTGCTCCACACAGCCCTGAGGGGAGGAGTGGGTTCCTGATTAAATGTATTTAAATGATTAAATGCTTCTCTGTCTGTGGAATTTTTTACAGAGCCCCAAATCAGCCTCTAGTTCTGTGCATTTCCAGCTGTGCAGTCTGGGCCTTCCAGAGAGAATCTTTATTTGTAAGGTAATTACTGTTTTCACTTAGAACAGAGACCTCTTTTTGTTCCAAACTGTACACATTTCCAAGTGTCTTCCCAACTGCAGGATATTCAGCAGTGTGGTGGAGAAGCATCTGTCCTTCTGCAGAGGGACAGTGCCATTCCTTGCTCCACAGTGCTGGGTACCTGTGAATGTGATCACTCTTTGTGTCCCTGAAAGGCAGCTTCTCTAGCTACAAGATTTGTGTTAGGTGAGTGCTCCCAAGGAACCTGCCCAGCTATCACCATGGCAAGATGTCCTTGGATTAGTTTAGCATCCAGGTCCTTTTATAACCTCAGTACCCTAAAAACCCAAGTAAATATAGCTCTAAGCTGCTTAATAAAATGAAATACAATAAAGAAGAAATAATAGCCTTGGGAAGGGAGGCAGTTCAGTGCTATAATATGAATGGGATAAGCTGTAGCTAGTTGGTTTTGTAACTGATACAATATTTCACATTATTTTTATCCTTCCAGTTAAAATCAGATACTGCCGTTCTTAAAGAGCAGGGAATTTATTTAATGATACCTTTAATAATATCTGCTTTCCTTTTGAAAGCCATATTTTAGAAGCAGAATGTCTCTCCCACTAATGGCTGTCTGCCAACTGGCTTTCATCTTTATCCTTTCTGATTCTGCAGTCTTTTACCCATGTGAATAATTTGCTCTCAGAGCATGCTGTTTTTAGCTCTGGGCAGTCAAGAGGAGAGAAATCAATGTAAATTGCTGGGGTGAGTGACCAGGA